AGATCTGATAAAGAATGTGCTCTTTCCCTTCATTCTCATTGTTATTTAAAGACGGGAACCTTCTGACAAGGTGGCATAGACAGATTTCAACAGCATGCAGCTCCTTCTGCCAGAAATCTTTACACAGGAATGTGGTCTTATACAAAGTCAAACAGCACCTAAACAAAAGACAAACAAAGCCAGAGTAAACACGGTACATCTATGGTAGAGTTAACCTCCAGCAAACACATTTATAGGCATCATCTTGTCATACCGAATGTATTTATAGGTTATTTTCCACTGCCTATAAATATACTTTGCATTTACTTGTTTTACAGTGTGGTTTGAAAAAGATGGGTTTGGTACTCCGCAAGACTGGTGCTACCACTACCATTGACCTATGGGGACTGTTTAGTACTGTATGTAATCAACTTCTGAATCCGAACGAAAATCATTCTAGCCTACAGTACACTGCATGGTGCTGATACTGAAACCTAACGTTTTTAATACAGTTCGCCCTAAAAAGAAAACTGTCACTTTGTAATCAAATGAGATACTTTTGTGATACATATGATGATTTTGCGAACATTACAGCCCATAAAACAGCAACATGAACATTCCGCTAAACATTCCATGATGTAACCGCTGACGGAATTTTCATTTTTGTGTTGGCTTCGATTTGAATTTTCAAATCGAACATTCTCTCTTTTTTTTAAATAAACCAGATACTACAGCTACAGTCATCCTCCCTCTTTCCACCCAGTTTTGCGCTAAAAACAAGCCCGGACAGCTAACACGCCCCCCAGATAAACACATACAGGAAATGAGTGTGGTTGAGCCATGATTCACCCTAGACTGGAAACACTTAATGTCTGTGAGATTCATTCCAGGTTTTAGACAAAGTGTGGCATGTTTACTGCACCAGATGACATTTTTTAGTGGTTATTTGTTGTTTTTGTTTATTGTGAGAGCTTGAAGGAAAGAGCCCTACTTTTAAGTCACTGCTAATTTTGGTATTCACATGAGTGTATTTAAACTGTGCAGTTCTCTGAGGAAACTTTAACGCTTCCCATTAGAAAGTGGAGAAATGAATGGATTTTACTTAATGGGCGTTCTGCTCTGACGTGGATGAATGAGAATAATTATGGAAGAATTGGACAATCACAAAATAAGAATCTCAATTGTATCTCCTACACATCGATAATACTAAATGGAGAACAAATGGAGATTTGATAATGCCTCCTACTTTTTTTTTTCTGCCATGCCTCCTCTAGAGTTTCTGAAGAGATTGCATCTCAAATCTTCATTTTTACAAAGATTAAATTATTTTATATCTATATTTAAATATCTATATCTACACTGGGAAAATTTTTTTAAATGTTATAAAAACAATTGCTAGTAAATTTGACAAACAATTACAAAGAAACTACAAGTAATATTGAATTAAACATGAAATTTTAAAGTAAAAAAAAAAAACTGAAATAATAGTTTCTTGTGGAATGTACTCCAGTAATCTTTTTTTACAACTTAAAAAAAATATATATTTTTAATTTATATATTTAAATTTAATTTATAATTAGTTTTATAGCTCCTTACTTTTACTGTAAGTCTCTTTTTTCAGTGTTTCTTCTAAGATATTTTTACACTGAATTTACATATTTAAATTTAATTTAAATATGTAAATTAAAAAAGTATTTTTTATTTATATAAATTTTATTTATAAGTATTTATTTAAATTTCATTTATATTTAGTTTTATAGCTCCTTACTTTTACTGTAAGTCTCTTTTTTCAGTGTTTCTTCTAAGATATTTTTACACTGAAAAAAAACTAAACATTGTAGACACAATTTTTATTTAGAAATTGCTAGTAAGAAAAAAGAAAGAAATAGCAGGTGACACGTTGAATTAAACATGAGCTTCTGAAGAAGAAAAACTGAAATATTATTTTGTAAAAAAATTTTTTTTACAGTGTTTAAACATGTTTTTTTTTTAAAAAGCTTAAGTTAAAAAAACATGTAGTGAGCTATGAAAGAGAAACAATAAAAGCCATAAAATCTTCATCTGGAAACCTTTATCAGCGAACCTGAATTTGTTCACGTCAAGGCTCACGCGCTAATTTTAGTCTATTCTGCTTTGCATCACTGTCTTTTTTTACTTAACTATTTTCAAATTTACGTGTTATCAGTATGAAGGCGGAAGGCCTCGAGACCTCTTTTTAGTCAAGTTAGACAGCTGGTTGAAGATGGCAGAACGAGTAATGAGTTTTACCTTTCGGTGAACCATAAAGACTGATCTACACCTTTAGGCGCTGTGCCTCACTCTCTTTGTCTTTCTTAATCTCTCTCTCATAGTTTCTGATGCAGCCTTCCACACAGTGCTTACCGCGGGATCTCGTTTCTTGTACCTGGCTTAGTGAGTTAACTCAGTAATCTCCAGGTCAACTTGACATACATCTGGATTTTCAACTATTTCAAGAAAGCTGACTGTCTCGCTTATACTTCTATAATTCACAACTCTAGACCAGTGAAAAAGTGGTCTGGTCTGAATCAGGAGAGAAATCTGCACAGATCAAACAGCGTTTACAAGCCAAAACAGCCCTGAACAAATATGTGGCTGGATTTTGATGTGAGAGACAACAGGGGATGAACTTTTTCACTGGAGGAAGCGTTATTATGGATTGTGGATTATGGACTCGTATTTTAGCCAGAAGCAATGGTTTAAATTTAAAACGTTTTAATGATAGATTTGTTTTGTCTTGGCTTCTCCAGATGTTAACTGATGGACTGTGGATTATTGTGATGTTTTTTATCAGCTGTTTGGACTCTCATTCTGATGGCACCCATTCACTGCAGAGCATCCATTGCTGAGCAAGTTTTGGGAGAACTATTCCTTTAACACTTACAGCCCATTAACTGAAGATCTCACTAAACTAAAAAACATTGCTCAACTTTAGAGTTTATTATTCAAATGCATGGCACAGAAAAAAATCCCTAATTAATTCTAACTATTTTCAACTATTTGATCATTGTTGTAATAATAATAATAATAATAATAATAATAATTTTTCAAAGTTGTAAATAACACAGAATATTTAAGAACGTTTTATAAGAAAATATTATTGCAGTCTTTCTAATTCAAAATTGCACATTTAGTTTTGTCTTGGATACCTGCCAATAAGAGCTATTGTGTTTCAGATAATAATCTTCAAAGTCTAAATAAATGGCAAACGTTGCAGATGTCACCGTTTTGCATGACAACAGAGCTCTGCCAGTTATATTCCGAGCCAAGTAACTCCTTTAAATATGGGCATTTCCATGTTAGGGCACATTTAGCCAGGATCATTCTTTAGCATTTCATTATTCATAATGATCAGAATGAAGACACTTTCACATCTTTTGCTGTTATTGTAAATAAACCATAAAGTGTTTTTTGTTTTTTTTCCAGCACAACCCAAGCCGAATTACACCTGTATCTCGACTGGGAGCTTTGCCATGTGTTTGCTGCCAAGATGGAGAGTTCTGGTGAAATGCAACCTGATAAATGCAAAGCTAAATCTAACCGAACTAGACACATGAAGATAGGTTCATTTTGCATTTGTAGCAAGAGTTGTAAAGTCAGAGATTCATGCATGAATGAATGAATGAATGAATGAGTGAATGAATGAATGAATGAATGCATGAATGTTTTTAAAAAGTGTGCAATCAAAATGACCCACAGAAAGGGTTTTATTTCTCAATCGTTTGTAATAATGTCTCTTCATAATCTCAATGACATCTAAAATTAGCCTGAGAACGTCTTCTGAGCTTTGAAAGAGCAACCTGAGAAATCAAATCTGAATCAGTTTGCCATTAATAAATGGCACAAAGACTCATCTAACACTGCCAAAGTTTTCTAGCATGTGCAATCCTGAGTGATGATGCTGGAAAGTTGATAGTTGCTCAATTATGGTCTTTAACAACCCGTTTGGTTTGGTTCCTTTGAAGCCTCTTCAGACTCATGTGGAAAATGAAATTGGCTTAGATAATGAGAGGTGTCATGTTATCTGAGTCACAGCGGGTCAAATCAAGGAGGAGAAATAGTGTCCCATGCTGGGATGAGCAGGGAGTGTTTGGGAGGTACTGGACGTCCTATTTAAAGCCTGATTGCCCCCACAGGAAGTCAGAACAAAATGTTGGAGGGAGGGGCTTAAAACATACATATTATAATTGCACACATTAGATAAGGAACATTGTAACAACATTCCAGTAACCAAAGCAGTTGGAGTACAAATCAATCAGAGAATGCATTGTTACTTGTCACAAAATAGACAATCCTGATGTGTATGGTGGAGGAGGAAACCAAATTAACAGCTGAAGACATTTCCTTTTGGATCAGTTATGTAAAAAGTGGAATTATTGCAGAAATGTACGCAGAGGTACGTATTTTTATGAGACTGGGTTGGCTAATATATACACTACTGTTCTAACGTTTGGGGTCATCAGGATTTTTATTTTTGTATTTTATGTATTTATTTATTTATTTTTTAAGGAGTCTCTTCTGCTCACCAAGTCTGCATTTACTTGATTGAAAATACAGTAAAAACAGAAATATTTTTACAATTTAAAATAACTGTGTTCTGTTTGAATATATTTTAAAATATTATTTATTCCAGTGATGTAAAGCTGAATTTTCAGCATCATTACTCCAGTCTTCAGTGTCACATGATCCTTCAGAAATCATTCTAATATGCTGATTTGCTGCTCAAGAAACATTTCTGATTATTATCCATGTTAAAAACAGTTGTCCTGCCCAATATTTTTGTGGAAACTGTGAGACATTTTAATTTGGGGGATTTTTTGATGAATAGAAAGTTCACAATAACAGCACTTATTTGAAACAGAAATCTTCTGTAACAATATAAATGTCTTTCCTGCTACTTTGGATCAACTTAACGCGTCCTTGCTAAATAAAAATTATTATAATAAAAAAAAAAAAAAAAAACTTTTGAACCGGAAAATATGTGCAAATAACTCATTGAATCATTTTTCATAAAGGACACATATATTTTCCAAGTGGGAGTCAAAGTGATCATCAAAATAAAAAAATCAACAGGCACCATCAATGACAGGTGGATTACTAAGAGTCATTCACATCGTCCTGTCCGTCACATCATAAGCATTGCAGCTTAAACAAGCGTCCCGGGACCATGAGAATCAAGCATATGGTGGAGCTGAGCATGCAGGATTAACATCAACCATCCAATCAATACAATCTGACTGTGTTACAACAAGACTTGATGGCAATAGCTCAACTGATGAAACAGAAAATACATCTAAAATGTGGAGTGGACATAAAACATAGGTTGTAAAAAAAACTATATAAACTTTTGAAAACTTACTATGCATGGCCTTACTTTTGTGCATCAAATTTAAGACAATTAGAGACAATTACTTACAACAAGGGAGTGTTTTTTGTAGAAAAGAACAAAGTACTCTTAGAAAACAGAAATCCCTTGCATCTGATAATGGCTTCAAGGCTGGCCAGGGAATTCAGCCAGGTTGTTTTGATTAGCGCTGTTTAGTGCACTATAGGAGAATAAACAGGACTAGCTGCGTATCGTTAGGCGGGACAGATGCTTTTAATTAAACTGGATATGTCTTGTGAGCCATGGAGTAATTTCTTGCGCAGGAAAGTAGGTAATGGTCGTTTCTAAGAAAGCAAGAGCCGTCTCCGTCCGTGTGGCTTCCCGCAGAAACACAGACATCTGCCGTCTGCCGTGGAGGGGTGAGGAGGCCGTGGCTTCGTTAGCAAGAGCGCAGGCTAATTGGCGGTACGTGTTGTGATGGAGGGAGGGGGTGTTTGGGTGATGCAGGCAGACCATCGCTTTCCCACAGAACTTGTCGAAGAAAGGAGGAAAAGGAGAGTCAGTTCATGATAGTTTAAAAATAAATAAATAAATAAATAATAATAATGTATGTCTTCATTGGATTAAATATTTTTAAAAATAATAATAAAAATTGAAAATATAAAATGTATAAAATAAAATTTAAAAAATGGTTTAAAGAATACGTTTTTAATTTATTCAATTTAATTGTGTTTAATTTAAAATGCTTCATGCATTTTCTGAGAACATTCTCTCTCTCTGATTAAACAAACACACACACACACACACACACACACACACCCAACACAAGTAATTCTACCAGAATTTACTCCATTATTAAGAAGCAGGAACAGAAACTATTGTGTACTATTTGGGTCTCCTATGATTTACTACTGATATAATTAACAGGAAAAAAAATCTTCGTATGTCCCCACTGAATTATATCTTTAAAAAAATTTATGAATTAAAGTATTTAAATTTTATTTTATTTTTTTTATAAAAATGGCAAAAATAAATTATTTTTAAAATAATGTATTGAATTATTTTAAATGCTTCAGTAATTTCCACACACACTAAATGACGCTACCAGAATTTACAAAATTATTAAAAAAGAAACCATTGCGTAGTGTTTGTATCTGCTATGATTTACTACAAATTTCAAATAAATGTCAAATAAATAATAATATTATATATTAAATTATAATATTATTAAAAAAATAAAAATTATTTAAAAATAAATAAATAATACAATTTAAAATCATTATTTTAATGATTCTAAATCCTTCATACATTATCTTAAAAAAAAATTCTGTTAGATAATTGTTTTTTTTCCCCCTACAAAAACAAACAAAGAGTTATTTGTAGTTCCCATTAGTCTTCCATTGTTCGCCAAAAAAAGAGAGTCCCTTCCAAAACACAAATACAAAAGTTTAGAGAAAGTAAAATCTGACGTGAACAGGACTGTTCTTTGAGAACGACCTCCATCAGTGTCTGTATTTCCTCCCTGGAAGCTCCTGCTCCACCTGAACATGCAGAAGAATTCCTCCTTGTCCCTCCCAACCCCCCATTAGACGCACACACATCCCTTCCTCCAACAACTTTTATGTTCCCATTATTTGGCCTCCTCATACCAGCAAGCAACCATCTGTACGACAACATCCAAGTCAAACATGTGCTGCTAATGTTCTGAACACAAGAGCTGATTCGGAAACATCTTTCTGAATGAGTATGCAAAAACATCCTGGCGCTGGAGTTACAAACCTCATTTAAAGCGAGTGTCTTAAAGAGCAGTTACAGTGGTTTGGAGTTTCTGTTTCCATCAGTGTCACTGCTAATGACTGCTAACGCAAACCAGACTGTGACGTTTCTGGAGACGCATGTCTTTGAGCAAAAATGCAAAAAAAGGAAATGTGTTACAAAACTAAGTAGGTTACTATTCTGGTTTCATCTAGGAGAGATTCTCTGAAATATATATAAATAGGATTCAGGATTCAAGAAATAAAAGCATGACAGCAAACATCACTGCCAATTTAAACACAAAAATGCAACGCTGCGAGTGAGTAATATTGAGTTTATTCAAGCACAGCCACAGACAACAAATTTAGCATTAGCAAGTCAACATTTATGTGCTTGAGCTTTAGTTTGAGAATAGATTTGTTTTCTTTTTGTGCATATGTAAAGCTCTGCAGCTTGTAGTCATCTGGAAGCGTAGCATTTTCCTCTATTGCTAGCATGGGTCAACCAATCAAGGGTTGCAAGAAACCTAGATTTGACCTTAAACAAATAAGCTTCCCTTACGAAAAAGACGTTTATTCAAGTGTGCTATTAGTATACTTCTTTTAAACTAAAACATAGGAAAGTATACTTTTAGTCTACTTTTTATGTACTTCTCAGAAATGGGCTTTATGTACTTCTCAGAAATATACTTAAAATGACATTTAAGTATACTTGACTAAAATAAACTTGAAGTATACTACTTTTTGGTAAGGGTTTGCACATCTTAATAAGAATATTTGCATATATTAACAGTAATGTATGCAAAACGGGAACACAAGAGATGATGTTAGCTTAGCTTAGCAACACGGCTTCTGAGAGAGGCCTAATGCCTGTGGCTGTTTGGCTAATTAAATTTCATGCATATAAGCTGTTTTGTTACGGTATTGATTTGATAAATAATATGAAATATTAAGGTTAAGAGACTATTATTAACTAAATCTGGACCACTTAAAGGGATAGTTCACCTTCAGTTGCTGGTCCCCATTGAGTATGGGAAAAAAAACACTATGCAAGTCAATGGGGACCAACAACTGAAGGTGAACTATACCTTTAAGGGATAGTTCACCCAAAAATGGGAAATCTCTTATATTTTACTCACCCTCGTGTTGTTACAAACCTGTATGTGTTTCTTTCTTCTGCTAAACACAAAAGAATGTATTCTGTAGAATGTTGGTAACCAAACGTTTGATTGACTTCCATAGTATTTTTTTCCATAGTATGGAAGTCAATGGTTAAACTAATTGGTTATCAAGATTCTACAAAATATCTTCTTTTGAGATCAACAGCTGAAAGAAATTCAAACAGGTTTGAAACAACTTGAGATGAACTATTCCTTTAAAAGTAACGACTGATTTAAATGTTTACCTGTTTATGTAAATGTAATATTAAAACAAAACACTGAATCACTTAATTTCTTAAATATAACAATATTTAATAATAATATTTCAACTGTCATGCACTGAAAGTCACTGGATCACAACAACATTGGACCCCACTGACTTTCAATGCGTGGAAAAAAAATATATCTGATGCATTTTTCAGCAGAAGAAAGAAATTCAAACAAGTTTGGAACAACATGATGGTGAGTAAATGATGAAAAACATTTCATTTTTGGGTGATTAGTGGTTAGTGATTTGAACAAACCCTTAACCTGAATTAATAAACTTATCAAAGGGATTTTTGACTTGTCCTAGTAAGCAATGGTTTAGCCATCACCTAGAACACACTAGCACCGTTGCGCCGAATTTTGCATTGGACAAAATGTAACAATCTGCTAAAGATTTAATAAGAGAAAAAATTATGTAATGATTAAATGGAGCTGTATCAGAGTCTAGGCCTCATGTTTTTCTGCGTATGTTTTTAATTAAGTCAGTAGCCATGTTCAGAGTTGGGCTGCAGCCAGCGAAAACAAGCACGATGCATCCTCAGGACAAAGCTTCTTAAAGAGATGCAATATTTTTCCAGCACTTCCATGTAGGCATCTCATCACGGGATGTTCGAAGTGTGTGTTGATGTGGGTGTGTGCCTTTCTGCGTCCGCATTTCACACCGATCAACACCTTTCAGGTACAAGAGGAAGTTCTACCACCAACACCTAGAGCCGACCATCAAAGCAAGTCCATCAAAGTCGTCATGTCTCAACTTACAGCCTTGTGCAGGAAAAGAATCCGAGTAAGTGCAGGCGGTTACAGCCAACTGTGGGCGCGCGGCAAAGCCACACATCTGGTCCAACAGGTTCTGAGGGAGAAGCTCACACTTGCTCTACTGTCAATTCAGTTGCATGAGTCAGTCACTCAACGGAGACAAACACGCACACACACACACACCTGCGATTTCATTGCATACGAAAAATTGGGAGCGTTTGCTGTGAGAACGAGACAAGATAGGGGATAGTTTTGATAAAGAGATGCGATAGCTGCATCTGTATAGTGGTGCCATTTGAATCTTGAGGTTTAAACGAAGCGAGATCTACATGCTAACTTTACAAACAAAAGGCTATGAATAAACCGTTTCGCATCCGAACACATGGTGCATTAATAATAAAGCAGTACAGTAAATAAAAAAGAAAAACATTGGGTCAACATTCTTTCATGGCTTTGTTTGTCTTCTCAACAGTCCCGTGACTTCATTTGAAACCGCACTGCGAGTTTCACAATAGAGCATTTAAATATGAAAAGAGCGATGCGGAAACTCCACACACATTACTGTTGTCCTGTCACGCCAATTTGCGAGATAAGCATGGCTATGAAAAGAGGGGAACTGTCTGTTTCGAGCAAATGACTAGCACAAACATTGGAAGGGTAACACAGGTATAAGACAGATGTTCACAAATCCACTCTTCTTTTCTGAGGAAAGCCTTCACTTGACCTGCTTTCCCAATTTAGTGCAATGACGACCACTACTCTTTCTGTGAGCATTGCTGGCATTTATTTTAAAAAGGAATCTTCATACACATGAATTAGCCATGTTGACATGCCTCACTGGCAGGGCACGCGTGTAGTGAAGTGTCATAAATGGGAGTCTTGGTCGATGCAAATCAAGAGTGTTGAGTTTTTATTCCTACAGCTTTAAACCAATGTTACACATTTCTATAAAGAATATCGATCCCATAGCCTAACCACTATATGATAAAAAAAAACCTTTATAAAAGCTTAACACGTCTTTTTAAAAAGTGGAACCAAACACCATAATTGTACCAATATTTACAAATCCCATTAAATTACAACATAAATTAGAAAATATTTACATTTGGGGAAAGACAAATGGAACATTTAACTTCTAGTCTGACGTAAAGGCATCAAAAAGATGAACAACAAGGTTGTACGTTCAAACGAAACTGAACATGCACACACACCCAACCAATATTTGATATTTGATCATGTTAACTTAATCAAAGGTCTTTTTAATGGAAATTTACGCCAAATACGTCTCAAGCATTTCTTGTATAGTAAAATCCACTGATCGGTGGATAAAGGGTTGTTTAGTAATCATGTATTTCCATGCACACAAAACTCGTCACTCGTGCCAATAACACTCCCACAAAGAGAAGAACAATAACACTGCGTCCAATGAAGTCAAGTGTGGAACAAGTTATAATGTCTCAAACATAATCACATCCTTGGCAATCCATTAGGAGGTCAGCACCAAGGAGGAGGACAGGGAGAAACCAAACTTCCTCCTCCCAGATTGGTAGCGAAAGAAAACAATTAAAATCCACAACAACTCTTGAAATGGTGTCTTTGGGAAACTCAACAACTTCCTCTTTGCAGTTCCCCTCTGAGAGACAACTTCCTGAACACCGTCTGAATCGTCGCGGCCCCGCAGGGTTCACCCAATAAAGAACAGTCTCGACTAAGGCTAAGCATTGAAATGTGTTTGCGTCTTTGTGGAGGAGAAAGTGCTGGAAGACCAAGACGTGAACCAAGAGGGCTTCGAGTTTAAGCTTACTCTTGATGTGAGAAAACAAAGCAGAACGGAAACAGAATCAACAACTACAACAACGACGACGACGATGAAGAGTCAGATCTGGTAAAAAGGTAATTCCGCTACAAAAACGGTTATTGCATTCAAAATGGTCCAATCGAGTTTGACCTCAGCCTCACTTTCTGTGTTTGTCCATCTTGTCTACTTTGTTGGAGCTGTCGGAAGAGGCCTGCGAGGAATCTCCGGTCGAACTCACGTACATTTTGTCCACCTGCTTGAGCGCCTCGTTGAGGTAGTTTTGCAGCGAGGTCATGGCCGCACAGATGGCTGGAGAGCCGAAGCCATGCGTGATGAGGCTGAAGTGAGTCAGGCAGCTTTGAATCCCTGGCTCGAGAATGGGAGCCGGCCTAGAGTTTCCCAGAGGAGATCGGTCCTGAGTCAGCAAGTCGGTGAACTCCTTACAGATTTGCCTGAAAGATTAGATGACCAGTTAAAGTATTAAACCATAAAGCAGAGATTTCAGAAGCCTGTTCTGCTTAGGTGGAGACACCCTCAGAAGCAGGGGGACTCGTTTCCAGACTGATGACTGCTTAATGGCTCCATCAAAATGGGCTTGGCCACCCTAACCTTAATGCTTCAAGAGTTGGGATTCATATGAAATGGGATGGTTACTCACCTGGCTGCCAAGAGCATGGTTTTGCGAGAGTTGATCTCATTGCGTTCCACGTGCGGTCGGCCGAGGTACTCCGCGATGGCCTTAGCAGGAAACTCGGTCTCACAGACGTACCCAAAATCTCTCGCCAGGTGTACAGCCTCACCTGCAGACAGGATCAGATGAGAATCAGTTGACTCACGCAGCATATGACTGCACCGCAAATATGAGTCACCGTCGGATCCATCGGCTTGGAAATGACTCACAGAAAGAATCGTTTCCTCTCTAAGCTAAGATGAGTTCAGATGAATAGACTCTCTTTTGTGGATTGCGGTGGTCACACTGCATATCTTTAATGAGCCTTTGTAGCTCAAGGCGTCTAAGGGTCACCTAGACCCAACAGGCTCTTATTGATAGACTAGCACATTATTCACAGTGGTCGTCTTTAAGGTCAGTCTCTCCTCTTGGCTAGCGAGCATGTGATAACAAGCCCTAATTCAGCTTTGAAGGTCTGTAAATAACTACGCCTTCTAGTCATGTTCCTGCTTCAGACCCATGCTCCCATTAGGGGTGAGAATGGTGACATTAAAAGAGAAAGCTAAAAGTATTCTGCATCGCTCCTGGTGCTAGTTAACTCGTGATCTTTGCGCTAATGTCTCTGTGACTCATTGGTTAGCTATACTCATGCGAAAAGGTGGACATGGAATGTCAAGAATTTACAGATTGCCAATACATGAGTAGAGCTAACATTTACGGCCCTTGCATGTGATCGCAAAGTCTTTTGGCTTTGTATTGAACTATTAATAGTTCTCTAGATGAGAAATTTAGACTAAATTTAGACGCTAGACTTCTGACAGAACAAAAAGTGACCTGGTAACAAGATCACGACATTCGAACCTCAAAAAATCAAGCCAAAGCATTTGTTTAGCATTTTGCACAGTGAGGATCGATTAAACTTTCCGTATTGTTGGGGGTCATTTAAACCAATTTAGACAGATTTAATGCAATTTAAGACTAGGAGACTTTAAAAATCTGAACAGATTTCATCATACACCATGTGATTTTCTGTCAATTCCGACTGCTTTTCGGCATCTACCATTGACTTGTTCAGACTACAAATCGGGGCAAAAGTCGTGTTGTGTATTCCAGCTTTTAACACCCACTTTTCAGTGTAGAACTTAATGAAATCCTCCACAGATTTTGTTGTTGCAATGACTGAAATATGCTAAACCTCTGCCATGTGGCTGGTTTTACAGTAACAATAGTGAAAATTTGACTGCCATAAAGCGCTTACCTTCCACCAGAGCAGTCAGTAAGGTGACGTTAGCAGCCTTTCTGCGACCCGCCGGCAAGTTCAGCCCAATTTTATCCAGTTTTTCCCTCAAGGATCGGCCGCCGTTCTTTGACTTTGCCCTTAATAATAAAATTAACAGTGAGTGTCATTAGTGACCTTTTGCTAAACCTGCCAATGCTAGGTTAGAATCTGTTGCCATCTGTCATATTATCAGACGAGCTTTTGTACGTTTCCTAGAAAACCCAGATGGACTTGCACAGCTTTTTTTTCCACTTTTCCAAATCTTTAAACATTTAGCATGAGCACATTTTACAGAAAACTACACTTTTTACTGAAAATCTCCAATTAATTCCAACAACATGTTCCGAGCGAACAGCAGTAACCAGGAGAGCAGAGCTTAACAAAGGCTTAATTATTGCAGGTGAAACACATGGATTTTATTTGTTTTGTTTGTGTTATATGACTTAAAGGCCAATATGGAAACAGGGTTTGGGCCCAGATTCACAAAGATAAACAGGCTCATGAAATAAAATGATGTCACAGATTAAGTGTTTAAAATGCATTGCAACAAAAACGCATACGAGCGCAGACAAAATCCCCACTTGCTGTTTGGGCCTCTATGACTAGAGCTGTGGCCTGGCATCACCCTTCACATGTGGGGTAAGGGATTGTTAGCAGGAGGCATGAGTAAGTGCCCCCTTTTTCCATCCGACACTACCCCCTCCCAGCGATTGTGCTATATGACCTACTTAACGAATATCAGTGCGTTTGCGTCAGACACATGGGAACAGAAAAATATTCCCACTAATAAGAGGCAATGAGATTAGATTGTGTGTTTGGTGACATCATTCCCCCCAACATTGCACATGCTGGCATATGGGGTCAAAGGGTCAAACAGCAACATCTCATCAATACGTACACAAATGGAACTTGATGGTACCAAACATGAACTTGCAAAGATTGATAAGCACACACATTTAACACTTTGTTTCCACTGACCTGTAAATGCATCTCGCAAAAACATGTCCAGGTTGCATTTCAACCAAAAATCAAGAGACAAAACATAAGATTTTACATTTAGCTCAAATAAAAATAAGCTTTTTTTAAGCTTTTTTTAAGCATAATTTTCATGACAATTAAGCACATTTTGAGGGGTTTTACCATTCTCATTATTCTCAATAGTGATTCTCATTAGATTTATTTTTCACTTGTACAGACGTTTTGTTTATTACAGTAAAATGACTAATAAATCATTTTTTTACAATTAAAATCAGCATAAATTAAAAACTCTTAGACTATCATAATATATACATATTTTATTCATCTATATTTAATTTCACATTATTTTTGTTCATTATAGCAATGAAAATTGGTGAAAATGTGTGTAATTGTTTTGAAAATGATGTCACATTAGTATTTTTCCAGTATATTTAAAATAGGCTTTAGATTTGGGGTGAAATATGACCTGGTTTCATGATATTCTTCCACCAACCTTTTTATTTGCTCAAGTCTTACACGTAAATAATTAATAGTACACTGTAATAAATGATATTTTTGAAGTTGTAAATAGAATAAAGATTATTGGAGTAGGTTTTAAAAGAAAACACCATTTCAGTTATTCTACTTCAAAATTGCACATTTAATTCAATGTGTTACTTGCCGTTTCTTTGTAACTGTTTGTGAAATTTACTAGCAGCTTCTGAATGAAAATTGTTTGTACTGTACATCAATTTTTTTCAGTGCATTTATATTGCCATATTAATAGATTTTCACCTGCGTAATACTCCTCCGAGCAGGGATGCATTTAGACACTCCGGCGGGGACAAGCGTCTCTGAACTTCTGCCACAGTTACTTTGTACTTGGAAGTGGAGCTGAGAAGAGAGAGTCGACCAGGAACAGAACAGAAGACCTCAGTGGGATTTGACACCATTCCCAGCAGCAACTCTTTCTGAAAGGGAATCCCAAACGGACTTCCCTTCGACAGGGACATTGGACCTGGAGATGAGAAATATATCGGTCAACCAAACAGCTCCAGATACACAGGTGAGAAAATAAAACTGTCTGTTTCAACACAATTGAGCATCAACTTTGTCTCAGATGTTTCACTGAAAATACTTTAGGGCATATAAAAACAGAGACAAATAACATACTTTACCACTACAGAGCTATATAATAATTGTGCATAACAGCTCAAATCATTAGATCTTGGGAGAATTTGATGAGAAATGTTTGAGTTCATATTAAGCTTTGATTTTGATTGCACATTTTTATTTTATTTTTTATTTTTTTTAAACAAGGAACAAGTTGAACTGACTGTAAGGAAAAAAACACAAGGTGTTCAGATTTTGTTTAAAAAAAGAGTGAATATTACCTGTACAAAGTGGAAGCTGAGATGGTTTAGATGAAAACGGAATAAATTCAAGCCAAACATGTGACAGAAATTTTAATATGAAGAACCAGAATGGGACAGAGCAGTCATCCATGCTATAATCATGTCGACTAAAATATTGGCATAGACATTAATTCAGCACTTTGGTGACTCGAAAGAAAATCTAAATTACTGACTGACTAAAATACATGCCAGAATCTGTCAGTCTACTCTTGACCACAACATAATGCAGTAGCTGCAAACGAACACACATCTAATTACACTGCAGGAAATGGTAAAGACCACCAAACAATATCAAAAATATAGACTCTGAAATTGATTTTTTGCTGCCAAACATGTTGCACTCAAATGTGATCTTTCATGCATCTTCAACTCTCCTCCTCAACATTTAGATTTTATTTGACAGCTTTGAATCTCAGAAAAAAAGAGCGAAACTAGAACTGGTTCAGTGGTTCTTAACTGATGGGTTGCAAACCTGTTCTGCTATTATAAAATGCAACTAAATGTGTGATCACACATAGTTATAACAGCAAAATAAATAGGAATATCAACATTTTATTTTTTTACGATGGAAAGGTTATGGGGTCCAATTACAGTCATGCATTTGTAACTTAGCTTGTCAAATTAAACAGATGTCAAAATGCATGCATTCAACCTCACAAACCATGAACAAAACTATACAAAGTAAAAGAAAGTTACTAAATTGTTTTAAACAAACATTGTAATGCTACTCCGTTGCAAATGTAAAGACATTCTTGTTTACTTTTGCATGCTACACAGTTTTAGTACTGAATAGGGTTGATGTTATGTCCCGAAGGGTCCAAAAGCAAAGCCAACCGGATACAGACCACTCATTTCAGCAGCTAGTGATCGCACAAAACAAACAGACATTCAAAACTATCTTTCGGTTTTGCTTATTTAAGACGATTTCATGTCACAGCATATGACTGAACAAAATACCCATGCATGTTTAAAAGCAGCCACACCCCAACTACAGTTGATTCTTGTCTCCTTGTGCGTGTATAGTGGGGCAGAATTGCGTTCTGACAGTGCTGTTTCAAAAGACTAAAAAGCAGGCCTAGGCCTCCTCTCTCTGAGCAAACACACCATTTTAAGGATTGCCCAATATCTACAACTTTGGCTAGTCTGCCATTTTGAGAGGAATCCTTTCTTTCTCCATTCATGCTGACAGAGAGGCAGAATGCTCCGCGGATCAATGCCAGATTAGTTAAATGGACCACATGACCAAAAGGATTAGTGATATATGTATGAACCAGCACCACCTCAACTCCGCCCACCTAAACCGTTGGCTCGGACAAGCTGAAATCTGGAGCCTGACTTTGTTTTTTCCACATAAACAGCAAAGGTGCAAGATTTTAGTCTTTAACACGCTTATAAATGTATCAACGCAAGTGCATCGCATAAGTTTAATGCAAATGCAAAACGATTCAACTTGAAAGAATCATGATATATTACAGTTGTAGAACACGATCTTATTTGATTCAAAACACTTCACAAAATAATGGAAAGTTAACTAATTTAGGGAAGTCCTGAAATGCTACACTTCATATAAAATAGTTTTAAATGGCATTTTATGATGCTTAGTCTTCGTAATTGTAATGCATAATGATGAGCTCATATTATTTGAGAAACTACAAATAAATATGAAATTATTATAATTTTATTTTGATTATTATTAAATATATTAAACAAAAAAAAAAATAATAATGCTATTGTACTATAATTAAAAATATATATAATTATAATTATAAAATTTTAAAAAAGAGTAATAATAATTGTATTTATTTATATTTTTATGTAAAATTGCAATACTAACATTGACGTCTTTCCCATATAAATTTGAATCTAAAAACTACCCAAAGATATATTTATATTAGAAAACAGAAATGCAACCAACCTTTTTTGATGACTGTGTGATCAGGAATTACAATACTGTGATCACCTTCGTGCTGCAAGAAATAACCAGGAAATGCATCACTCTCCACTTAATCCCAAATAAATAATTATGAAATCATTAATCATATCAACTCACCTGAACATCATCCAATCCGTGGCCTATATCGTGCAAACCGATGTTATCACCTATCGAATCGATTCCATGGATGTGTGGAGGCAGCAGCTCCGGTCTCCTAAAACCGTCCCGCCGCATCCCGGACGAGCCCCCTTCCAGGCCCAGAAGGGGACTGGCGAGTCCGCCCCGGCCGTGGGACCCGATGGCCTCTTGACCGTGCCGTCCGGGCCATGACTGTTGCTGATTAGATGCTGCAGAATGGTGTATTGAGTTGATATTAAACGGGTCGCCCAGGTGAGAGTACGGGTCGCTGGGTTGGGTGTACGGCAGAGGCTGGTAAGGGGGAGGGAAGTACGGCGGCTGGAAGTCTGAGCTGGCGGTGTGCGAGAGGGACGGTGGCGGGCTGTAGAGGTGCTGGCTCACCGCGGCAATGTGAGGTAATCGGGGGTTTCCATTGCTGCTAACATCATGTCTTTCCTGCTGAAATAGAGAGTGTGTCACATTAAAACCACACTAAAATGAGTTTCTTAGATTTTTGCCACATGCTGATGACATGAATGCCTTTGGAGAAAAAGCATCTGACTAATGCATAAGTATAAATGCTTAAATTTGGCGAACAAGCAATTAATATTTGAGAAAAATAAAAACGGAAAATGGAAAAATCCTGCTTTTTTCCTGAACATGGTACAATTCTCACAGATAGTTAGCAATCCTGCAATCATAAACATTTTTATGCAAATTAAAAACTGAGCTTTGCATGTTCTTTATTTTATCATGCAAAATTAAATGCAAGCTCAAAAATCTTAGAATAAAATTAAAAAGATGCAGTTGTTGGCTTAAAAATGTATTTCTACCCGATTAAAGCCTTAAATGCACTTTCGTTCATTTAACTCTATGTATTCAGTCACATCGAATGCATTTGGAGTGTTCATTTCGATGTTATCATATGCAACGCGTATGTAAGGTTACCAAACCAAATATTTTTGCAGTCATTAGTTCTCTTTCTAATTCAACATCAACAGCTCGTCTTTTGAGTCGGTGTTCAGCTCTCGAGTGGACTGTATAGTGTGCATTCATGGCTTCTATTGTCTGGCAAAGTTGCTTGGAGAGTTACTGTCACCAGAGACACATGAATCACAATGAGCGACGGGCCATTTCTAGACAGCTTAATTGAGACCACACGAATTACACTTGAGAGTTTTCACTCACATTAATACTGGAAACCGATACGCGCTAGAATATTGCGTCCAAAAAAAACGAAAAGCAAATTCATTTTTTTTTTTTTTTTTTGGAATCTCATGTCCATGTGTCCAAAATGATTCTTTGTTTTTGTGTAGAATGCAGATTTGGAATGCCATCATTGATTCTCATTGTAAAGATGCAGTCTAATCTGTATGAAAATCAAAACTGTGCAATTAAAATATGTGCAATAATTGCGTCTCGAATTAATTCATTATTATTGTTATTACTATTATTCATTTAGTATAATTAGCTACTTTATTATTATTATTATTACCTGCTCGACTAATTATAACTATACATATATTTAAGCAAATTCTTTATGAAATGACTATACTAAATTTACATTAAGTAAAATATTGTTCACATCTACTATTTAAACGAACGCATTTTGGTCACCACATACAGTTTTTTTCTTTGCGCAAGATCAAATTTAAAATATCTATTTTTTAAATAAATAAATAAAAGCCTAAAACATATAGGTTTCTTACTATAAGAACGAAACATCGTACATTAAGCTGCAAGTGCATCTAGTTAACTTCCCAGAACTTACTTTTCATAATATTTGGAAATAGAACAATGCGAATTTCCATATTTGAAATAAAAAGCAGACAGTGCATTTGTTTAATTCTCTAATAGAATCTGCCCTTCGACCAGACGTCTGCGCTTCGGTTCGCTTCTCCTCTTACCTCGCAGTCATCTTCATACTTCACGTTATCAGCTAATTTCCACAACATGTTGTCTTTGCCGCGCGAGGATCTCAGATGTGTGTATCTGTGCTGATGTTTGCTTGCGGTCTAGAATAGAATCCAGAGAGTCCGGCGCGCGCCGCGCAGAAGTGAAGCATCAACTCAGTGTTGAAGGAGGAGAACGAATGAAGAGAAACGAATTCGAGGGTTCCGGTCCAAACAGACTCCCTCTGACGGACAACAGAGCGGCTCAGTGTCGACTCACTGATTCTCTTTGGACTCTCACTACTATATTTGCATGAGGCAGCGGTGGGCGGTGACCTGCTGCGCGCTGGCTACGTCAGAGCGAAGAACCTGCTGCTGATTGGCTACTGTCAGAAAGACAGACCAATCGCAGAACTGTCCGTCTGTTCGGAGGGCAAATTAATCCTGGACGAAAAGTTGCGATGTTTTGCCATTTACTGAAACAAACTCTACAAACAAAGCATTGTAAGCCTATGTGCAGTTTTAATTAAAACGAAATGTTATTTACTCAATTATAATAACATATAGAACGATTAATGGAACTATAAAAGGATAGACAAAACGATAAAACGAAGAACGATAGATAGATTTTGATTGAATGATTGTTAGGTGGAGTGCAAATATTGGACAAACGAAAAGATATTCATGTTATTTTTTCCACTCAATTTTTATGCTCATTATACACTTTGTAAAGACAACAAACGCATTAAATTAGGGGGAAAATGCAAAATAAAAACGTTTTCATTAATGATTTTGGACTTTACAGATCAACTGTATATTTTAATTTAATTGTGTTATTTTTTAAACGTTCTTAATTTATAATAGAAAATTAATTTTAAAAACGAAATATAATAGGCTAATAATAATAATGATGGTAATATTAATAGTAGCCTAATAATAATAATAAATGCAAAATATTTTAAAGTGGAAAATGTCTGCATTAGAGATTTGAAAATCCGTACGCAAAAAGATAGCAAGAGAGAAAAAAACAAAAACAAAAACAAAAAAAGACGAAAGAAAGACTTAATCCCGGTTTAGACTCGCCTGCGTGTTAATGCAGGTGGATTAACTGTATTTGTGGGTCAAAGCGCCTGCGGCTCGAGCGGGACTGTGATAAATGAAGCGCACGAGCTGGTTTGATTCCTCTGCAATCTGAATGAAGTTGCTGTCAGAGTCTACTTTCACACACTCAGACTCTACTGTAACCCCGAGGGAGAAACATCTGCTTATGTAACCTGCTGAAAGCACAAGCAAAACATCCACCTAGGGCAATAATAAAATGCATGAATGCGTGAATTGTCGTAAGACAATCATTATTTACCTATAGGCCTAACCTGGAGAGTCTGTAACATTCTCATTTTGAGTCGTTTGTGCAAAACGGAATCAGTTCGAATGATTTAATAACTGACTGATAAATCATCAATATGAGATCTTAATTGTGAGCAGTGACTGTCAAGTCAAGTCACCTTTATTTATATAGCGCTTTTAACAATACAGATTGTGTCAAAGCAACTGTACAGCATTAATTAGGAAAATAGTGCATCAATAATGCAAAATGACATTTACCGTGGTGTTTCATTTCACCTCAATAATAAGTCAACGAAATCAGCAAATAAGCATATAGTAGGATGTAATAATTTATTGAATTAAATTTTTGTAATAATTATAAATAAGTTAGTAAAAAAATCGTAATAATTGGACGAATTATTTGGTCTCTTTAAAAATAAATAAATAATTTCAAGTCAACAATCCCTGATCATACAAGTTCATGATGCGCTGAAACAATAAGGCCTACAAAGTATGAAAAAATACAATTAAAAATATAATATGCATGCTGTGTTTAATTATTTATTTAATAACACATAACAATTGTTTGTGATATGTGTCGTTTCTTATTAGTGTGACTATAGGAAAACCAGAGATGGTTGTAACTCTCTTTGATTTAAAGTCTGTAGCTCTGTGTTTTGTTTTGTTTTCATTCTACTTTAATATATGTTCTCGCATTTATGCTATAAATTGAGAAATGTACAACTTGCGCTTAAACTGTATAAAAAATAAATGCCAAAAAAGCTCTGTTGTTACAACATAACAGTAACAGAATATGGGTTGTAACATTAAGATGAAAAAAAGGGGTGAAAAGGAGAAATCAAATCAGTTAAAATTTGTACATGAATTATTTTATTAAACTGACTTTAGAATTATTGTTAAACAATCCATTATTAACCACGACCGCATTTAAGCAATTGGATGAATTAAAACGCACGAAAAGATCTTATTTTAAAACATCAACAGTTACATAATACAGTAACAGGCTAACAATTAAAAATGTGTTTGCGTACATGTATAACATCTAAACGCATGTTTAGCCAATACAAAAACACTGGAAGCATCATCGTCTGATCAGACATGACATTTTTAGCTTTTTTTTCATAGGTAGAAGTTGAATAGATCAAATTAAAGAAGAGAATCTGATGAATCAGATGCACGGGTTGTCATTTAACACTATTAACATCACCACAAATCAAATTATAACCAAGGAGTAAAATGTGGATTTTTTTATTAGTTTTTGGAAACCCTGTAAACGCTTTATGATTTTTACAGAGACTTGTGACCTCACGTGGTACTGATTTCAGTAGCTCATTTCTAATTGGTTGAATTGTTGGGTGTTGAAATACTCCCAACATTTCTGTTCTGGTTCTGCAAATTTGACAGTGTGATAAAGCGCGTGTTTTTCCTCCATGAAGGCGTCTGCTAAATTCATTCATTCTAATAAAACTGCTATGTCTTACTGTTGAGTGTTCAGATAGGTAAGTTTCACACCTGAAGAAATAAAAGCTCTGCAATTTGGCAATTACTTATTATTGTTTTATTATTATTATTGTTAATGGCTGTTGTATGCATAGGCTTTATAGTTCCTCTTGGCATAAATATAGCAGCAATAAGAATTGAATGGAAACGTACCCGCCAGTCCAGCCTCTCCAGCATCGACATCTGCTTTAACTGTTCAGTTCCCCTGTGCAGCAGCCAATGTTCGAATCACACGCGCTCCGCCGCTCATACACCTGGATGCGCAGGGCAGGCACAGCGCATGCGCGGACTCTCAAAAACACCTGAACGGGGGCCGCAGCATTCCGATCGATGAGGATGATTAGTCATCACATCAGCTCTGTGGAGCAACACGCTATTGCAACAACGGCGCTTTAAATAAAGAAACGTCCATATGGTAATTAAAAAAATCAAGACAAGTCAGGACGATCTAAAGAATTCACATATTTAGACTTTTCCAATCGTTCGTTTTAATTTAAGAGAGACTGTACTAATTAGGATTTTTGAGAGCTAAGACTTTTCCATTCAAATCCATGTGAGTGTGTGACTTACATTTGAAGCTATATTTCAAAATTACCTAATATTTCCATGTTTTCTATGACAGTGGGTACCTTGAATATGTTATTAAGTGACAGACCTACGGGAAAAGGATTGGGGGGGGGG